ACAGGGGGGCGGGGAGGAGCAGAGGGGATGAAGAATTTGGAGTAAAAAAAAAACATGGAGTCAAATTGGCTCCACTACCTTCTGTGCAAAGTTGCCAGTGAATTAACCCCCGCCGGACCCAGTTGCCTCATTTGCAACATGGAAATAATCTTTCTCTTTAGAGCAAGTATTCCAGCCTGGGACCTGGGGGCGGGGTCCATGTGCGCTTCCGTGGAACTTGCGAGTCTCAGAGACTGAATAGCAAGCGTGTGTGACATGATTTTTCTAAAAAGAGGATGCATTACTAAAGGCTGTCGGGGGGGTCACAGATACTGTAGCTAAAGCGCCTGACACACAGGGGCTGTGTTCAGTATTTGTGGCTGTTATTAATTTTAGGTCCTGGGAAGGGACAGAAAGATAAGTCAGACAGAGCCCGGGGCAGAAGGCAGGGAGACAGTTCCAGGGGAAGGTGTTGAGTGTCGTCTCAGGGATGTTTAGGCCAACACCGGAGGGCGAACCAAAGTCAGTGCAGAGAAGCCAACAGGAGAGCGTGACCAGGTGGAGGCCCAGCTGTGCCAGGTCAGCGCCTGGCCACCACTGAGGTGTCCTCGACGCCTAGACAGGACTTGGCACACGGCTGGTGCCCAGCGAACAACTGTGAAATAAGCAGACGAGTGAGGGAGACCAACCCCGGGGACAGGATAACACGTGTCCCAATCCCTCGGGGAAAAACAAAATTCCGAAGGTGTTACTGGAAAGTACTGATATTCAAAATCACGTTACGATTCCCATGCAAATGTGATGGTCCACGCTCTCCCCTAAAGAGTGAGGACCCTGGGCCTACGCCTTCGTCACTCAGTGGTCCCCAAGCCCTCTCGGGCGTTGTGATGAAACCCAAGAATTCTGCCTTCCAGACCAGCGGTTAGAAAAGCTTCATTTTTTTTTTCCAGAGGAATTCAAATGCCTTATTTGCCAGGACAAAATTAATTCAATTTCTTTCTTTTTTTTTAATTTTCTTTCTCCTTGAGTTCAAGAAGCTGAGAGCTGAATGTGTAGCCCAACTGTATGACCCACTATGGATGGTCTGAGTGTTTTTGTTTCTCCTGACGCTACTTTCCTATCCGATCTGTACTGTGCATGACCCTGACTTCTGTGTGTTTATTTTACGGTATCGTGTGTGTTCTCACCGTCATCTCAGAGCTTCAGTGGGACGTACAGAGTATTTACGTGAATATTGAACACTAGCACCGAGTCCTGGAATACTAGGCACGAACACCGGTTCTGGGCCACGGCCTAGCAGCTCAGTGGTTTAGAGCTCTTGCCCATCCACCACGGTTTCGAGGTTTGATCCCCGGTCAGGACACATACAAGAATCAATCAGTGAATGAATAAATAAGTGGAACAAATCAATGTCTGTCTGTCTGTCTCTCTCTCTCTTCCTCTCTCTCTCTAAAATCAATAAAACATTTAGGGGAGGCAGGCCTGGAGGAGAAGCTGCACCCTACCATTTGTCTGCTTTGTAGCCCCTTAACTGCCCTGCAAAATGGAAAGAGTAACTACTTTTTCATAAGCCGCTGACGAGACTAAATTTTTTTTAAATGTATTTGAGCCTGGAATAGACTAAGTGCTCCAGAGCAGCAGCCAGGAATAGCGGTCGCAGCTGCAGGTCTGGCGGCAGCAGTAAAGCTGCAAACACGTGGAGCGAAGAAATAACGGTGCCCCCTGACCCCAGCAAACAGAACCAAACAGGTCAAAGGTCAGAACGAAGAAGAACGCGAGGGGAATGAACCTCTCGCACTGGAAGGGCAGCCTATCCTGTGTTCTCTCTATTCACGGCTTCCTCAGACCTGCCCCTCCCCTTCCCGTCTGCTCTTCTGAACGGTCTGGACATCCGGGGCAGCACTGCACTGAAAGTGAACCAATCTTTAAGTCGCACAAAAGTCCAATCGATGTGATGTTGCACGCCTACATCTGGGCACTCCTAGATAAACACACTTTACGGAAGGGAAGCAACGGTTACCTCCCTGTCCCAGCCGCGGCTCCTCATCTGCATCACACGGCTTGTGCTCCCATCCTGGCGGAGGCAGGAGTCGGCCAGGAAAACCTCCAGGGGCTCCCACCACCCACCAGCCCGGAACATTCACTCTCCTTTTTTTAAATGTGTTTTTATCGATTTCAGAGAGAGGAAGGGAGAGAGGGACAGAAACACCCATGATGAGAGAGAATCATGGATGGGCTGCCTCCTGCACGCCCCACACTGGGGATCGAGCCCGCAACCCGGGCCTGTGCCCTGACCGGGAATCGGATCGTGGCCTCCCAGTGCATTAGGTCCACCCTCAACCCCGAGCCACGCCGGCCGGGCCGCAACAGTCACTCTTGATACACACCTGCAAAGCAGCTTTAGTGAAGCCATCGGCTTGTTAACAGCCAGCGGCCGCCAGGGAGATCCCTGCTGGGGGCGGGCACCCGACTGCGCACCATCCTCCCGGCACTGGTTCTGGCTCCAGGTGCCTGTCAGCCCAGGGCGTCAGCATGGGGAGCAGCGGGCGGCTGGAAAGGGCAGACACAGGTGGAGGCCAGTGTAAAGTCTCCGGTAAGCGTTCCTTTTTTCATTTTATCGTTGACACTACTGCCCATGTTCCTGCCCCCCCCCACCCCCGCCCCTCCACGCAGCTCCCACCCACTCGGATGAGCGTTATTTGACAAACATCTACAGCACCTGCTGTGAGCCAACACTAAACTGGGTGCCTGGTTCACTTCCCAATTCCCGGGACATGACCGACCGAATGTATGTTGGACGGAAAACAGGGAATAAAAGAGATGAAGGAACTGCAGTGTGTGAAAGTCTAATTTTTTTTTTTTACAGCATTTCTGTAAATCTACCCATGGTAGAGGCACCTACTTAAGAAACATTAAAATACTCCTCTTGGAAGTGATGTCTCCATGGTCTTAAGTTTTGTGAAAGCAAATATTTCACAAAGCGCCTCCGGACAAAATTTCTGAGGAATAACTTTGAGGGGGGGGGGGGGGGTCTGAGGAGAAAGAATGTTCTAGAAAGACCAGAGATTTTTTTTTTTTTGACCCGGGACAGAGTGCTGAGTTTGAATTCTGGCTTTGCAACCTCCTGGCTGTGTGGCTTTTGGACAAGCGCCCTCACCCCACCGGGCGCAAGTCCTCACCCAGGAGGTGGCGGTAACCACGACACAGTCAAGGTGGGAACAGAAGAAACAAGGGGCGTGGAACATTCTGTAAATGGGAGCGACTCGAGGCATTACCGCGCGTTTCCCACGTGACCTCACAGATCCAGGGAGGGGAGGTCCCCCCTTCCACATTGTTGATAACCCGTCTTCCCCAGATACCACGTCAGCTCCGCGGGGGCCGCGCCGTCCTGTTCACCTACGCGGCCCACCCGCGCTCGGCACCTGCAGG